AATACAGAGTTCTTGCAAGGAATTCTGTGAATGAGACTTGTAGCATGAGAAGAGTATTTTCAGGGAAATGTGTCTGATTCTGTGCTTCCTTCTTAACAAAAGACAGACTGGTACCCAGTGTCCTGCAGTCTATCCCACTTGGATTGTTCATTTTGTAGAGATAAAACAGATGGGTGCTGAGAGAAGTTGAGAATAAATAAGCATTGTTCTGTAGGAGTGTCATCCTGGGGAAGCAAAACAGCCACAACACCAAATTCTGACCTCTTGGATATTTCCAGTGCCCATGACCCTGATCATAAAATGGTGAGGTTGACACTGAACTCCAAAGACAGTATGTACATGTTTTCTTTTGAGTTTTGTATTGTCTTAGCCTGTTTTCTGTTACCATAGCAAAATACCTGAGACTGTAATTTATAAAGTAGACAGATGTACAGTATTTTCCCTCACAGTTCTGCAAGTCCAGGAACAGTGTCAGTACCAATGTGGCTTTAGTGAGGGCCTCAGGCTGCTCATGGATGGTGGGGAAGAGGAAGTGCAAGCAGGTGCATGGGCTGGACTCCTGGAGAGAGGTGATGACTGCTTGTGAGGGCTCCGGTGCTTCATCAGGCCCCACCCTCCCTGAACTGCCCTTCAACACGAGTGGAGGTGGGAAGAGCCGAGTGGAGGTGGGAAGAGCCGTTTACACTCCAGCAGTGTGCTGCTTTGGAGCTCTGGAGTTGGCTAAGAGCTGGAGGCTCAGTCGTCAGTGTCTTCCTGGTGTGGGCCTTCTGAAACATGGGCAGGCAGGGTTTCAGGTGGAGGTGTGGTGCTGTGATGGTGGTGGGTGCCTTCTGACCTCATCCTCACTCAGCTGGCCCTAGGGAGGACCGGGAGGGGGCCAGCAGCTTGTCACTTAGGAGCCTGTGAATGGCAGCCATGGGCTTCCTGCCTGAAACTCAGTGCCTGTCCGGGACATTGGGACTTGGCTGCCCTGTGCAATCCTGTAGTACGTTTGGCTTCTGTCTGTGTGGTGTGGAAGTGGTTCTTACAGTTTGAATTCATTTTCAGGTGTTTTTCAGTTTCTGGTCTGACGTTTCCCCTTTTTCTTTTATAGCTGTGTATCTGTTCACCTTTTAAAATACGTTTTATCCCCTCTGAACTTGGTAAGTGCAGGAGCCTGGTTGCTCCCCTTGGCTGACTACTGTCCTGTGAAACTGTATGTGGCTGCCCAGCCAAGCTTGTGGCTATGTGTGTATGTGGGTGTCCACACACGTGCTAGTCCTGCCTCACCTGTTACCATTTTGCACCCTTTGCTTTGCACTTTTCTTCTTAAATGGGGTATAGAGAGAATCATGTTGGAATATGTTTACTTCTTGCTTTGTATTTCCTGTAGTGAAAGAAATGAATCAAAGGAAGGTGTATGTGAGGAGCGTCTTTCCTCTCTCATCTTCATTTCTACCCATACCTCTTCCCTCCCTTTCCCTCCCCTGCCCCCTCCCCTTCTCCTTCTCCTTCTCCTTCTCCTTCTCCTTCTCCTTCT